GTTGAACGGGTCATAGTTCTGGGATTTGGACAGCAACCCACTTCTGTGACAGCCTGTTCCAAGGGTAATGAACTGACTTCTATTTTACTACAATATTTTGAAATACTGTTGCTCTGCTGCCATTTACTGCAGGTGGCAAACTGACAGCTTTACAAAGGAAGTGTTACAGCATGGGGAGCATCTTTGGTTAGTTCTGATTGCTACTTTTTTGATACTAAGGAAAGAATTTAGCTAAAGGAGCCATCAGCTGCTCAGCACTAATATTACATGCAGAACTGAAGAATAGCTGCTTTATAAGGCAATAGATACATCAGTAAAAGTGATTCAGAATTAACAAGTTCGGATAAATTCGTCCTGCACAGAATACGAGCAGAGATAGCGTTTCAAATGAAGGAGTCTCAGATCTGTAAGCCTGCCTAGTCTAGAACAGGAAACTTGCAGACAAAACCAGAAATACTTTTCTGTTCTCTTGCTCATTCAAAAGTGTCTGGAGTTCTTGACTATGTGGGAATCTAGAAGATGTGAGGGATCCCCTATGGATAGGCAAGCATCTACAGAAATGGCTTATCATTTCTGGATGCATTTCAAGCACATCCCTTCACTTTGGGAATTATGTGGACATGGACTTCCTTCCTCCACTTGTCAACCTCAAGGACTTTTAGGATGTTTGGAGGAAAACCTATGCTGAAACAAGGGCTATATTTTTTTTTTCCAGAAAAAGTTGAATATTTCTATAGTTTGAAAGGTCAGGAAAAAGGAATATTTTTCCCCAAATCTGTTACATCCTTATGTGTATACTGGGCAGATTTGATTACTATTTCTTTTTTAATCAATCTTTTTCCACCAGTGGCAGGGACAGTCTGAATTAAAAACTGGAGGGAGTCATATGTAACTGTGTTTCAGAAGGGTTCTTCTTAAATCATATAGTAAATTCTGTTGTCCTGTTCAGATGGGAAAGAAAAAGAAGTGGTTTTCACATATGATACGAAGACCTCTGCGCTGACACTGGAAAATTTAGCCCTGAGTGTTGCTGCTGACTGGAAGATTTGCATCAACTGAAAGGAGACACAACTTCTTCAGAGAATTTATTGAGAATTTGAGGGAAAGTCAGGACAACTTAAAATGTTAACTTGAATCCAGTCGAATCAAGAAGCATATTTCCCACCTGCACCCCCAAACTAACATTTCCTACAACTTTTCCTTTAAATCACTGATTTAAACTTGGATAGTTCTTCTATTCAACAAAAATAATAGCACTAGGATTGTATCTGTGGGGAAAAAATCTGAATACTATATATCTGCTGCGGGGTAGCCTCAGGCATTAAGACAGAGTTCTACCTTCACTTGCACCAAAAAAAACATAAATTGATGGAGTGAGATTGTGGCTTGTTGGCATAGGGGTTAATGAAAATATTTGGAAATCCCACTGTTCAGAGGCTGGAGTACTTGAGAAGAGCAGACCTAGGGCAGTTTGACAGGCAGCATCAGTAGATACACCAGACACAGGTTACTAGTAGAGTGCTGCCTTGTGAAAGCAAACACAGAAGGAGCCACCCAGTGTGGTTACAGACACTTCCCCTTTCCAGTCCTTATGACAATGCAAAATTAGGTAGTCTCAGTAGGAAAGTAAACAACAGTTTATGGTTCAGTCACTGAAAGTAAGGTTTGAGTAGGTTGTACTAGTCAACTGTGTGATAGTAAAAGACAGTGATGTGGGAGCACTGAAGTCTCTTCAAGAGCTGGCTTTGAAACTGGCATTTGGATTTTGAAAAGGCACAGGTATATTAAGTGCAATGCTGACTTAGGGTAGCAGCTAGACTCATGAAGAAACAATTTTCATGTTATTGGTCCCCAGTCTCTGCAAGTAATACTTAAAAAAAGTCTTTTGTTAGGAAAGAATTGGCATTTTGGGGTAATTTAAGGTCTTTGGTTAAAGCCAGCCCAGTGAAACAGCTGTGGTTATGCAGAACTCTTCTCCACATCCTCCAACTCTTGCCAAGGTTTGGCTTCCTTTGCACATATTTTAATAATTTCTTGATCAATTTTTAGTATCTGGCTGAGAATTGAGCTTGGTATTTATAAAGCAGTTTTTTTAATGGGATTAGTTCTGCATTTAGCCATCCCACTTCATGCTGATTCACCTTGTTGTTCCCTTGCCTCCTTTTCCCACCATCTCTGCAAACAGAACTGGTGTGTCCTGATGCTTTCTTCCGTTTCAAAACCAGGAGACGTCCCAAGTCCCACGTCCCCTACATCCTGCTTATTGTCACAGCCCTTTCCATATCAGGCATCTCTTTTTGTAGGCTACAATTGCTCCACAGCTCAAGTTGTTTGCCCTTTCCATTTGTTATGTTTGTCAACTATATTATTTTAAAACCATTTCTGCTTTGAGTCAAACCTGAACATGGCATCTGTTGGGTTTTGGGGATATAAAAGGGCAAAATTTACTTAATTTCTTTTAGCAAGACAAGGTAGTATTTTCTAAAAACAGTAAATGAACTCTTAGGAAACAAAGGATTGTCACCATTTTTATCAACTAAAGGTATTGTAACAGTCCATTTGTACATTGTTACTTACTCTTCTTACTGAATTCTCCCTATGCTTGGTCAGTCATTCCCAGCTGCTGCTGTTTGTCCTCTGCAGGGCACATTTCTGGGAATAGCAAGTGTGAGAGCAAACTGTGACTACTCTGGTTTGCCTATCGAGTACAATTTGTTCCCCGCCAGACCCTTAGTTTCTTCTGCAGAGTTCCTCTGTTTGTCAGCCCCTTCTAGCAGACCATGTGAGCAGACAGGATAATCCAGGTAGAACAGTAGCAAATAGATCTTTTACATCTGTGAGAAGAGAGACAGACCCTATTTTTGTGACAGATCCTATTTTTCTATCTGCTTCTAAGCATTAATTGACAATTGCTTCTTATGTTTAGCATTTTAAAGAAATGTTTTAACTGGTATTTCTGAAATTGAAAAGTATGTGAAATAAAGTAATGAAGCAAGTTAAATGCCTTATTCCTTCCAGATGTCTTTCTACTGTTGAGAATAACTATTAAGTATTCTCCGAAACATATGTGGTTAAAGTGAATGACTATTCTTTTATACTCTGGCCTTCAGTATGATACCTGCACTACAGTAAGTACTCATGGGTCAAATTTTCAGTGGTATGAAGTGCTTAACTTCTATGAAAGTTCTTCCCAAAACAGAGCTCTGTGTAGAAGAGATAATAGATGAATTTTTTCATTGGGCAAGAAGGAAGAATATGAAAGAAAGAACATATGCACAGGCTCCAGAATGAGCATTGTTGCTGAAACTGTGCAGCAAGAGGCCCTTGGATCTCACTACTTGCATTGCTCCTGAAATATCCTTGAAAGAGTGACACATGGCTCTGCCAAGCTGTCCTGCAAAGTAATGTTAAATATGAGACCTGCAATCCTTACATTTAAATGTATTGAGGAAGTCATCAATTCTGCGTCAGGGCAACCCACCCTGAAGCTGTTGTATTCCTGTTTCCACAAACACTTGAATCCATTCCTTCTGATTGCCCTGTTGGTGCAAGAAGGCTTGCATTCATGATAAAAAGAAAAGGATTTAGGCCATTGTTAGAAGACTGAGGATTAATATTCCTAGAGGCTAGTCAAGCTTGCCAACTAGATTGCCGTCTTTATAAGTTCCCCTAGTGGAGTTTTTTTAATGAGCTGTAGACATTTTCCATTGTGCTCTTGATTTGAAATGCCTAAGCCAAGCAAATGGCTGAGAAAGAAAAGAGAAACAGTGCTTTGGAAAACACCATAGTGTTAGGGCAGAATGTCAGCAATGTGTACATGAGACAGAGACGTAGTGGCATCAGGCAAAAATAACACTGATGTCATCATGTGATTTAAGAACTTCCCAATCAAAGTGAAATCAAGCTGTCAGGGGGCTTGTCTTGACACATGAACAATGTCACCTTTTAAAAAACTGGGTTATAGAGAAGAGCAACACGTGTTTAATTTTTCTTTCACTGAGACTGTGAATTTGTCCCTTATCCCACTGTAGTGTGACAAATTAAATGTGCAAAGTCAGACATCTCCTTTAAGATTGGTATATCCTAACGCACACAGAATGGCCCAGTTTCCACACTATATAAGCTCTTCTGCCCCTGTATGAAAAGATGCTTTTTACATGGGAGGTAGTTATCACTACGTCAGTCTTAGTGCTGGTAAGCTGCTCTCTAGAGGAGCCAAACCCAGCTGGCAAGTACTGACCTGCCTTAAGCAACATCAGATACTTACCTTTTTCACAATTTAGGAGCATGTCTTCAGATAATCCTAGAATGGTTTTGGTTAGAAGGGACCTTAAAGCTTATCCAGTTCCAACTCCCTGCCACAGGCAGGGGCACCTTTCACCAGAACCGGG